GGCACTTGTGGTGTTGTTGCGACGTCTTATTCTCACTAAAGGGCCGCATTTACAGCGCATCAGTTCGCTCAGTATTGTTGTATGAGTGCGAGTCCTGGCCGATTCGCGTGGAAGACATGCGTCGTCTTTCTGCGTTCGATAACGATTGCCTAAAGAGGATCGCTCGTGTTTGGTGGCAACATCGAGTTACTAGTAATGACGTTCGACGTCGCATCTTGGGGAATGCAAGTATTCCCTTCAACAAACTGGTTTTGTTGCGCCAGTTAAGATGGCTCGGTCATGTCCTACGCATGGCACCTGAGCGTCTACCGCGTCGCGCTCTATTCGCTCATCAAAGATCTGGCTGGAAGCGACCGCGTGGTGGTCAGCCTTCCACTTGGCGGCAGCACATGAAATCGCTGCCGTCGTGTCTAGTCGCTGTTGGATCCATACGTCTTCCAGGATGGGAACCCAAAGATGAGGAGTGCAAATGGCTTAGCACTCTTGAAGACATGGTCCGTAACCGGAATCAGTGGAAGAATTGTGTACAGTATTGTATTGATTCACATGTTTAATACTACCAACATTGAAAATGACGAAAAACGAGAAAAATCGGTGTGCGAAAAACAAAATAAAAATGTTTTGTTCTACTTTTCGTCAAAATGTTCCATTCTTTCTGCGGCATGTTAGCTGAAGTGTGTTGCTCACCGTCAACTACCATGCCACGATGATTATGACGCAGCGGCTTTCCCTTATCTGCTAATCTCCATGGCTTGCTGGACTGTTGAGATTACATACATAATGGTCTGTTATGTTGGAGAGTATTCGCGATAGTTCATGTCGGCTAAGTTTTTGTCCAAGAAATTCTTGAATTCCGACACCAACTTTGACTCGAGTATGTGTGGCGGTAAGTTCCATTTATTCACTACTCTCCCTTCTAAGAAGAGTTGGTGGAAGACCCTCTTCAAATCCGATACTACCAGCTTGTACCGGTGTCCTCGCTTGCTGCTCAGTGTGCACAAAGGTGCAGCGACCTCAAAATAAAGAAATCACCAAGATAAAATATCTGCCACGTGATGACGAGGTCAACCCGTGCTCGACGACAAGACAGGATATAAAGTCCTAGTCTCTTACACCGGTCTTCGTACGACGCACGTCGCAAAGTGGGGATGGGCTTGTTGGCCACATCCTGTACCCGTTCAATCCTTTCTACCTCGCCCCGGGTGATAGAACAGCATGCGAGTGAGCCGTACGCTAGCGTTTGTCGTATGATTGAGACGATGAGGCGAGTGGCATTCCCTTCGGACCAAGTGTCGAAGCTGCGCTTGAGTGCCCTAAGCATACGAAGTCCGTTTTTTTAAGCCTATTCGTGTTGTCCACGGACTTTAGATCAAAGCGTGGAAGATCTCTCACGAAATGCTCGGAATACAACGGTTGACCGGCCACAGTAGGTTCGACCATGTACGCCTCATGAATAGCGACTTGACCGGGTTTATCGGATGGTTGACCTCTGCAGGCCACACGGAAAGGCGGTCAAAGTCCCGCTGAAGCAGGTCACAGTCATCAAGTGCGGTAATTACTCTCCACACCTTCAACTCATCTACAAACAACGCACAAGGTGAAAGGAGAAGCCGTGGCCCATCGTTTATATGAATCAAGAACAAAATGTGCCATGATTTTGATCCGTATAGTAACACTGGCCAGATTCCTGAGGATCAATCCGCGTTTCATCGAGGTCGGGGCTGCATCCATCACATCTTCAGTTCACGTCGATTGTTGGAGCACCGTCCTTTTTTCTGACTTTCTGCTGTTGCCGTGTTCTTCGATATCAAAGGTGCCTTGATTCGGTGAATTGATGGGTCTAAGAAATATGTAAATATCACTTGGGCTGTTTACGCGCGTAGCTCGGGCAGAGTGGGCGCTTACGGAATCCTGTCGCCGCCTTTCAATATCCTTAGCAGTGTGAGACAAAGTTGTCTGCTGTCACCCTTCCGTTTTAACATCGCCATTGACGAGGTCATTGAAACAGCGTTCATTGAACACGATTTGAAAGGCGTGGAGTTGCTCACAGGTAAACGACTTCTTGACTTGAAGTATGTTGACGATATTACCCTAGTCTGTGACGGCTCACAAGCAGCACTAGACAGGTTAGCACTGGCTGTCAGCCGTCTTGGGCTTTGCTTCGCACCCTTATAGTGCAGTTTTCCTTTAAGGTTGGCAAGCACCGCTTACGCTAACCCTTGGTGGGGATCACTTAGAATTCATTCAGAAATTCAACTACCTATGCGGTTGTATCAGCGCCTGTGGGATCGGAGACGAGGTCACTAATCGTATAGCAAAATCTCGATGCGCTTTCGCTAACTTTCGCCACTTATGTTGCCAGCGCGACATTGTTCTCTCTCTCTCTCTCTGAAGCTTAGGGTACAGTGTACCGCATGTTCGACTATTGTACAATTATGAAACCTGGCCTATTTAATGTTATGAAACGTGTTCACTATACAAATGATCGCTCCCACTTATGGGGCCGTGTACCGTCCGTCGGTAAATATACAAATTTATTTATTTATTTATTAGATCGGCAGGTGTAAAGAGGCTAATTTCGCTCCACCATCGATGCCTTCTCAGTTTGGGTGATATCTAGTGCCAACACCGTGTGAGTACTGAGCTTGTTCGACGTCTTATCTGTGGACAAGAAAGAGAAGTGAAAAGTTCAGCACAGTTATTACACACACCATATTCCGACGGCTGGGTCACCACTGCCGTGACATACGTTGTTTTTGCGCTTGTGCGGGCGGAAGAAGAGGAAAGGAGACCAACGGACGACATGGTCAAGAGGAATTAATGTCCTTAGTTCGAGTTGGGCTCGGTTGAAACCTCCCTGCTTCCTGGCTGGGCCCCGAAAGACGAGAAACACCTTTGGCTGGAATCACTTGTTGACATGGATGGCAGCCGATCTCAGTGGTGTTTGTGTTGTGCGTTTCCTTGTTGCTCAACCCTCCCGCTTAGCCTCCCTCACTAACCACGATCTCGTTTCTGATGCATGATCTAACTTGCGGCACAGTAACCGGCTGTTAGCCCACCGGAACTATGTCCATCCGTTACTGCTGGTCCAGCTAGCCTGTTTGTGTTGCGTCTTTTTTGTTTTCTCATGTATTGCGGCACAATAATTGTTTCCCACCTCTGAGTACTTTGCATAGTGCTTGTGGTGGTAGGCCTTGTCACGACATTATATACCCTACTTTTAGCTGACGGGCTGACATCGCGCCGTATTCTTACACCGCGACTGGGAAAGCACGTGTTCTGCTGGTACGGACAGTAATCCCCTCACCGACGTTACTACTAGCGGTGGCACGGCCACCAAGGTAAGTGAATCGATCCATCACTTCCAGCGGTTGGTCACTGAAAACAATGACCGGTGGACTATTAGATCAGTCCAGCAACGGTGCTTTGGTGCATAACATTCCGAAGTGTGCAGCATTACTGGTCAGCTTACTCAACAGCATCTGCACAGGCACTTGTCCGACCAAGAGTGAGCTACGTCGTATGCATACTTATTGTTTGTCACTTGGTTGCTTGCCAGAATTTTCGCTCCAATAAAGGATTGGTGGACGGAGCCATTGATGAATAGTTTGATCAGCAAGTTAAAGAGCAAGGGAGATACAACACCCTTACTTTTGTTGGCGATCCAAAGAGGCTGTACGCTGTACACTCCTACCCGGTCTCGCGAGCCGCCGTAGAGCTACATCACAGTGCACCAGAGTTCCTCTGGCACATCCTTCACGTATAAGCAATAACACGAACCAGCGCGATAAGCGGAGTTGGTGGCTTTCAAATCAAGGAAAACCACCATAATCTGTCGTTTGTAGGTATATTCCTACTCTAACACGACTAACGGTATCTTATCAGTGCAGCCTCGGTCAGAACGAATCGGCTTGACTCCCTGATCCGGTTCTAATGACGGCCAGTGAGTCGTCGGGACAGCAGAAATATGAATGTTTTTACTGATTTTCACACCAATTCCTTCGACTATCTTTGAAGATGGAGATGACTATGACAATGGTCAGTCTGAAGGCGTCTATCCAATGCCCCAGATAATGTTGAGTAGAGTGGATATACTAATCACTAATGAGTCATCGAAACTGTTGGGTTCGTTTCGTTTGACATTATTACAAATTGATTGGGTTTATCTTCAATGGTGCACACGCAAACGACACCGTCGGCCGGTGACCGAGTGGCCTACGCGCCTGGTTTGCAACCATACGGTCACCGGCTCGAATCCTCTTAGGGTGGACGTCCTCGCGGTACAATTAGTCCTCGCGCGACTGGTGGTTGTCGCGCGGCAGCGAAGTACCGTTACGGCGTACAGCTGACATTAATTATTTTTATTATTAAATGACATTCAACGTGATCCCTTCATTGGCTGTTCTCATGTGTTTATCCTTTCTAGCTCCGGTGTAGTACTTATTGAAATGCTGTTCCATTTGAGGATCCACGGCGACAGCAAGAACGGCACCACCCAGATCTGAGTCTGTTGTTCCTCCTAAACCACTCCAAACTTGTTTCTTCGTTTATCCACTGCGACTTTTTTGATCATTAAATTCATTCTCAGAGAGCTCTTGGTTCATGCACGCCACTAGTGTTACTCCAATGGAACTCCTGCATCACCGCCTTTTACTGGAACTTGCTCTTGCGTTGCAGTTTCGTTGGGTTATCAACTTGTACTTGTTGCGCTTTTTTCCATCTTGCGCCGCATAATTCCTAGTTTTTGTGAAAACTTTTGGAGCCAATTTTCCATTTGATTTATACGACGTCACTCAGCTTCTTGAGTACTGCAGTCGTTTCCATCGTGGCCACTTTAGTTACCGACGGTTCACGTTTGCCCCTATTGGTTCGGAAGATTACCATTTTTTAAAGCAAGTATCACTTTGTTATGGCTCTAGTAATTTATCCCCCTAAATTGTCTTTCATTACGCCTTACTCGTTGCGAACTCATTTTTTAAATTCTCACTGTTTGCATACAGTGTCATCGTCTCGCAACCGCAGCCTGTACAGCAACTGCTGTCTCTTTTATTCGGAATCTGGTTCCGTATGATCTACCACACCGAAGTGAATGCGATGTCCGTGGAAGCAGTCGCAAAATCGGTTGCTGGTTCTGTGTTCCCGAATAGCACCACATCCCCCGAAAAGGTTCGTATTCCAAATCGATCGGCTGTTTGACACTATTCTCTTCTGTGTCATTGCTTATAGCTAAGCTAATTGATTCGTTTTGTCTGTATGCTTCTATTCTGCTTTTGCACTGGTTGGCTCTCGGACAGTGTCACCTTGGGGTTTCCCTACTCTGGTTTGTTGGTCTGCGCATCTTCGTGGTTCACTATGTTACTCGGTAGACTTATCCGAACCGCATCCTGAATAACCAGTGTTTGTCGTTTTAATAATTCTCCAAATGAATCAACCCTACTCTTCTCCAGTTTGGGTCTTCGAATTATCCGTCCATTTTCTTGCACGCTCGACACTAGCTACTAAGCTGCTCACTGTGGTTGACTACGCGCACCCTCCTGCTCCTGACAGAAACGAGTGACCGGATGATGGCACATAACCCACTGTCTCCGATTTTGTATCGGTTCTTGATCTGCTGTGTGGGCTAAATTTCTAATATGAGTGATGAGATCTGATGTCTCCGGATGATTTCGCTTTGCTCGAAAACCGAAACCACTATTATCTGCTTTTGCGTTTCCTGCTCGGTTTAATGTCTTATACTACCGGTGTCCATGTTCTTCTTCTGACCGATGGTCTTCGATTTACTTTTGTTTTTTAACTTTTGCGCCTTGTGTTGGGATGTTCGCTCTCACTCCATGGTGCTGGACATTTGATTGCATGGCTCACATTCTCGTGACGATATTTACATCCTACGTCCACACTATACTAGCCAACGGTTACAGATATGACAGTGTTACATGGCGCCCTTAGTCGAGGTATGCAACTCGGGTGGTACCCATTTATGTGGAACCCGATCGTCCCGCCATTTCCGCGGTATTACGTCATGCTTTGCAACCAGAGGCGTTGTTTGAGAACCTCGTTACGTATTCCATTCAAGTCTAGTCTTCTTGAAAGGATTCCATCCCGGTGGCAGCGCTCATCAAACTTTAATCACACCTTGTATCAGACTTCGTACAGTGTGAAAAGTATCGCCCGATTTACTACTCCATGCAGCAGGTCGTATTAGCGAAACATGACACGTGATTCTCTCACACCTTCCCTGTGGTATCAGCGCAATTGACAGCAGCTGCATCGCTATTGGGGTTGTACGTTTTGCAGCTGTGGCCTTTCAGTGCCCTTTCCATTGCTGTCGTTTGGTCATGCTACACTGTCTGTCTGGAGCAGTTTAAGATTCTTACCCTAAGATTCTAAATCTGCAGTTGCCCACACCTTGTACAGAAAAGAAGAAAGAAGAAAGGTGTCAGCTTATACGCCGTAACGGCGCTTCGCTGCCGCGCGACCACCACTAGACGCGCGCGGGCTGAGTATACCGCGAGGACGCCCACCCCTACGCGGGGTGAGTCATCGTTGGTTGGTGGGAGTCCTGTAAACGATTGTCTGTGCAGATTGTTTGACAACATCAAAGACGATGCGGCCTATGACGCTGTTTGTTTGTGGTTGCCGCCTATGTACCGACGGATTGCAGTCTTGCTGCCACCATGAATATAGCATGCTATCTCACTGAGTTGCTGTTTTAACTGTTTTTGTGGGATATAAATGCGCAAACATCTCTTCTAAGCCGCTCGCAAGCTCAGGTAGATGTGAACTTTAATGACGGACGTTGGAGAGCATTTGTAACTACATGGTGTCATCTGGCGGCTGTCTGTCGATGGACCCGAGTAGACCACATGGACCTAAGCTTCTGGTGGCCAGATTCTATCCTTAACCCGGAGGCTAATCACAATGAAATGCGCTGTTCTGTCAGTTGACAGCTCAAACGAAGTCTACACAGTGACCGTGAAGCCTGGTGGTCCCAGCGTGCTTCGGATATAGAGGCCACTGCCCTCTGGCAATACTAGCAAGCTCTTCCAATTCATTCCATCCACTGACCACAGAAAGCCTGTTGTCAGTGAGACTATTTGCGAAGCAAATGGTTCGCCGACTGCCAACTCATAGTGACGTTTGGATCGATGGACCGAAGATTTTTATCCCCAGTTCAATTGGCCCTCACCGTCCACTTATATGCCCTGCGAACCCAGCTGCCTGCCCTGGGGCGTCACACTTGATCCACACAGCGAAGCAGAAGTTTGTCTTGCGATTCAACACTTGAAACAATTCAAGCTGCCTGCTCAGACGGACTTCCTCCGGAGCTGTTCAAATATGGTGGCCCACTTATCATTTCGCCAACTAACCTCATTGTTCTCCAAAATCTGGCCTGAAGAAACATGCCTTCTTGGGGAGAGTCAGTTATTGTCCCGGTTTTTAAGACGAGGGCTCGCACTTCATGCATCAACCACCGGGTGATTAGTCTCATTTCAGTTGCCTCCAAGCTATTGACATCTATTCTTCTCCCTAGGCTATCTCCCTTTCGCGAATCACTGTACCGAGAAGAACAAGCTAGCTTCCGACCTGGCCGTGGATGTGTGCATCAGATATTCACTCTCCGTCCAATCCTGGAACACCGCCACCTTTACCAGAGGCCTACCATCGTTGCATTCCTGGACATTTGTGCCTCATTCGACTCGGTTGATCGACCTGCACCATGGCGCTGTTTGCTAAGGAACGGTGTCTTAGAAAAGTACACTGCCGTCCTACGCGCACTGTATTTCCACATCTCCGACAGAGTGAGGGTGTATGGCAGGCTTTCATCGTCCTTCGATGTCAATAGCGGTTTACGACAGGGCTTCCCTATATCTTCGTTCTTGTTCAATTTTGCGATTGAAGACGTCCTGTCGAGAGCTCTAGACGGTTACCAAAATTCTGGTCTACAGCTACTACCGGATAAGCGAGCGACGGACTTAGATTGTGACGATGATATCGCATTACTTGATGATGACTCACAGAGCATGCAAACCATTCTAGGCCGTTTATACACTGAGGCATCAAGTTACTGAGTGTGTCTTACCCCGTCAAAGTGTGAAGTGCTGCTTCAGGATTGGCACTCACCCCTTCCCGTGCTCACTCTTGAAGTTTCACAGCTTGAACGAGTGCATAGCTTTGTCTACGTGAGCAGCTGTGTGTCTGCTGGTAGTACCATTAGAAAGCAAGTTTCCTTTCGCATCGCCAAAGCTCGGTCGGCGTTTGTCAACCTGCAGCACTTGTGGCTTCGTCGGGATGTCTCAATCTTGGTAGAGTCGTGTTTATAGTGCCACCGTTCAGGCGGTGTTGCTATATGGAAGCGAGTCATGGCCAGTTCGCGTGGAGGACGTGCGCCGACTCTCGGCCGACAACGGATGCTTTTGCATGATCACTCGGGTGATTTGGCAACAACGTATTAGGAACTGAAGTCAGACGTCCTGTCTTAGGGAATGCAAGCATTCCCTTCAACAAGCTGGTTTTGCTGCGCCAGTTAAGATAGCTCGGTCACGTTCTGCGAATATCAGTTGAGCGTTTACCTTATCACGCTCTGTTTGCTCGTGCAACACTTAATTGGAAAAGACCTCGCGGAGGTCCACCATCCACCTGGTGACAGTATATGAAATCGTTGACTTCACGTGTTGCCACCGTTGGATCCACACGTCTGCTCGGTTGGGGACCAAAGGACGAGGAGTGCCGATGGCTGGAAACAATTCAGGACATGGCTCATAATCGAAACCTGCGGGAGATCTGTGTACATAATTGTTTAGCTTTGCATGCTTACTACTTACCGATTGAACACGACAAAAAATAAAAAATGGCGTGTACAAAATAACAAAAATGTTCCGTTTTCTTTTATTGCGACACAATAGCTGAAGTGTGTTGCACACCTTCAGTTAATGTGCCATGATGATGGTACAGCGTTAAACATGTCCTCTTCCTGTGATTTCCATGGTTTCTCTAAAATTCGCTAAAATGACTATTGAAACCGGGGCAACGTAACATGTCATCCAACCGACGCGCGTAACTCCACACTCGGCATCTTGTCTGCACCTAAGGTTTACGAGCTGTGAGCAGAAGCTGAACGAGATTAGAGTCATCGAACCTCTGGCGAACAGTGACCACTGCTCCATTGTGGCAAGCTTAGAACTGTTGTTACCATATCACGATCAACGGAAGCCGACATTCAACTATTAGAAGAAGGACTGCAACGGGTCCGTTCAAGCCCCAACTCAGACTGATTGTACACTACCACAGGATGCATCACTTGAGGCCTGTTGGTCACTAATGAAGGTGAAGCTTAACTCGCTCTGTACTCCATTCGTTCCCCTTAAGTATTTAAAAGTCGGACCTGTCAAACCGCATTAATTTCCTACGGAATATAGACAGTTAGCGCGACGGCGTCGCAAACTTTGGGATAAATACATCAGCTCGGGTTGTGATGAAGATTACACGGTGTACAAGAAACAGCTTAACTTATGTAACGCTGCAAAGATCGAGAAACGCCGGCAGTTCGAAGAGCAGCTAGCATCCTCGACCACAACTGCACCCAAAAGAATATTTGCCTACTTGAAACGTCAACTGAAATCCGGGGGCGACATACCGGTCTTAGAGAGCTTGGACGGAAAGACGCTCATTTCAAGCGCGGACGCCTTGGCTACGCACTTCCTCATTGTATTTTCCAGTAAACCGGCGGCGGTTTCAGTACCGGCGCAGGTTGCGCCAATCTTGCTCAACAGCCTACAATGTGATGCAGTCGAAGTGTACCAGCTACTCGTCAACCTCGATGGTGCAAAGCCCCTTGGACCAGACGGACTTAACCCACTAATACTCAAGTCCCTATAGATTATCATCCCACCAGCTGTGACAAACCTTTTCAATAAATTGCTCTCTGAAAGATCTGTCCCGAACGGCTGGAAATGCTCGATAGTGAGACCGCTTCCCAAGGGTGGTGATCCGAGTAAAATAGAGAACTATAGACCAATCTGTTTGACTTCGGTATTATTCAACGTTCTCGAGAAGGTTGTGGCAAAGTGTCTGCTGTCGTTCTTCGAATCGATGGACGTATTGACGCCAGCGCAACACGGTTTTACGAAAGGGCGATCCTGCATCACCAACTTGATGTACGCAAACCA